ATCTCTCTTCCACAAGACCTACACCCTCAACAGTGCATCTCCTACGGCGTAGCATTCCCAGGCCGATGGGCTCACCAACGAGGCCGGCATCCTCGAGCGGTGTCTCCCCTTTTGCGGTGCCAGGCCAGGTCAACCCGTTAAAAAAACAAGAAGCATTGGTTTCAAGTTAAAGGATTTGGGATCGGATAGGACCTTCGGGCTTCGGGTTGTGGAGTACATGGAGATGAAGGTTCGGAGGGAAGTCTCGGGCAGTGACAAAAGGATGCAGGGCGCAGGCAGAGCGCCAACAGAACGTGAGAAGGCAAACAAGGGACGACCCGCGCACGTTGTTATGAGGCATCCAGACAGTCCAAAACCCAAAATCTTAAACCCAAGGGATTGCTCACGACCTTTTTTGTACGAGTTCGGCCCCCGCGAGCCTGCTTTCTGCTATTGATGGGTAATTACGCCTTCCATGCCAGGGTGAAAGGCTCAAGATTATTTCCATTGTGGTATGCCATATATGGGGAACATTTGATATTGCGGGGTTGAGGGTTTAGATGTTGGCGTGCAGGTGGCCTGCGCTCCCTGTGCCAGGAGCTTAGATCATCATTTTTAGTCAGTGCAGGTTCTCCTGTAATCTCAGGTAAAGCGCCACTCTTCCAAGTGTAGGTGCTAGGGCGACCTTTGTGTGCAGGGTAGTTTCGTAAGTACCCTCCCCCAACAATGAGCTTTTTCTCCCCTTCGTAGGGAGGAATCCCATTACACCACGGCTTGTGCTGGCCTGGGGAAGCCTTTCGATATGTTGCGGGAGGGCACAAATCCCCAAAATGTGGACAAGTCCTTGAAAGTGGTGCCTGCCCATTTGCCAGAGTCCACTTGCCAACGATGAATAGCCTTTTGAAGCCTCTGGCCTCGGTCAGGTAGTGACTACTTTTGTGGCCTTGTTTTGGGTCCAGACCCTTTGGGCCCTGACCCATTGGGCCGGATCTGCCAATTTTTCAAGAAAATAGTATGTCTGAAACGCCCTAACTCTTAACCCTTGATCTTGATCCCTCAACTCTTCACTAGGATCCCTCAACAGTCCAAATCCTCCGCCCACAATGTAAAGACCAAAGCCTTTATGCAAAGCCCATGCCCGAAACCCCAAGTTCACAGCCCTGCAGCCCCTAGCCCGCACACCCTCAAGCCCATAATCCATATTACGCTATATTATTAACCTTAAATTACCCGTACATTAACCCAATCTTAACCCAATATCAACCCTATATTACCCGATAATACCCTAAACCCTAACCCTAAACCCTAAAACCCTAAACCCAAAACCCAAAACCCTAAACTTTATATTATCTCTATGTTGCCTTGGCTCATCGAGGCTCTTGGGCCAGCGGCTGGTCCCCGCGCCGGCAGTACGAGGTCCCATCCCATCCACTTCCCTCGCACGCCTCGCCTTTCAGGGCTCTAGGAAGTAGGTTATGCGGGAAGAATTGCGAAGAATGGGGCTGAGTTTCCTAAAGCTCGTCCAGGGTTGTCACAAAAAGGCTGTTTCCATGCCAAATGCATTGCGCCGCGGGATCTGACAGCTCACCCCTGTGGCATTGCATTCATTCCTGAAGTCGAAGGTTGTAGTAGAAATCATGGCTTGCATTTTCTTGTCCATTATCCCGATGTAACCCCAACATATTCCCTTATTCCCTACTAACCCTGAACCCTATATGTATTACCTTGCCTCCTAACCAATGTCTGAGGGTAGTGGTTCATTGACCCAGATGCTCAGTCACCTGGTTCTGGTTTAGGGTTTAGGGTTTAGGCGCGCGACTTGTGGAGCTCAAGGCAGCCTGCCTTCCTTGCTGGAAAGATTGAATCCTGAATTTCAACAAACCAAAAACCCGTCCCTTAATAATAAATCCACCGTATTACACGTAGCTGTTAGAGGGAATATACTTTCTAAGGAGGGTGGGGAGTTCATGATCCGGGATATGATTATGGAAATTGGGGACTTTTCTGGAAGTTTTTCAACACACAACCCCAAACGGTGATCCCCATCGTGCCCTTACATGGTTGGCGGATTCTAGTTGCTGCAACCCCTTCAATCAGGACCCTATGAAAACCCTATGATTGTAATAGGGTCCCTGCTTTAAGGGTGGGGTTGCTACAGTTCCCTTACGGTCATCGACCCCACATATTTGCAGGGTACCCCGCAGTGAACGGAGGAAACTTTCCATCCAGTACAGAGCCCCTAAGTGCTGTCATCATGGGGTCATACAGTAGGGTACATTGATGTGGTTCACGATTTTCTCCATCCACAGGAGGGCGCCCCTGTTTCGGCAAAAGCTCTGAACTCAAAACTCTAAACCCACCTAGCATAAGCCCTAAACCCTAAAAAGTAGCTTCCATTTTCTTTTCCATTATCCCTATATGGTAGTTTCCCAAGATAGAGGGGCCCCAATATGGACCTAAATATACTATAGTCCTTATTATGGGACCCCCAAAATGGTACCCTTAATTTGGGGAAACCCCCATATATCCTTATTTAATCTTAATAGAATCCTATATCCCCTTCCCAGCCCCAAGCATGCTAAGTCTACAGGGCGCAGCTGATTTCATCCCAGCTGCCACAACAGAGAACGCCACAGGCTTAGGGTGAGATGCTGGGGGGAATAGCCTGAGTTCTCGTGTTCTTTACCACTAGTTTCATAGTCTGTTTCTGGGTTTGCAGCTAAATCTTGACAAATATCCATGTCAGGATGTCCTTAAACTCATTAGAATTCGCGTCCTTATAGTGGGCTTTCTACTGCAATTTAGGCTCCTATATACATCTCAAATGGGAACAGTAATTTCGGCCAAGCTTCATGTAGGGGCAGCGTTGGCTTCAAGGCCTCGAGCCTGGGGCATGGGGTTTAGGCTTTAGGGTCAATTAGATTCTTTTATTAGTTGCGGTACTGTTTTGTTGAATCATTGTCGAAGAGTTTTTTGGATCAGTGCTTTCCTACGCCCACGTCAGCCATCGACGTACTCCCTGCGAGTAACATTTTCTAAGTACAATTTTTGTTTATACTTGCCACTGCGGTCAGGTAGCAAATCGACGGCATGGTCACATGATGCCGGCAATGGATTACAAAATGCTTACTCGCGTCTGGCTAAGAATTGTGGGGCTTACTACGGTTCAAGGATCTCAGCGTGATAATTGTGACGCACAATCCAGGGTAGCCTAGACTACCAGGGTACCTGTCCGTCCTCTCTGCAATGAAGCAGTCACGAAATTTCAAGCTTTTGCTCCTGGATTCCTTGACTCTGATAGCAGGCGGGAAGCGTCGCATATCAAACGAGACTTGACGGCATTTAAAAAGGTATCTTTTTTGAGCTCGTGTTCGTTGCAGTGCGGGCTATATGTTCTCTGGAAACATCTGGGGTACGTACGAGGACCCTTCAGATCCAGGTAAATGAGGTTCAAGTAATCCTCCCTCTAGATTTTAAGAAATCCCCACCCTCTAATACAAAATATTCCCAGTGTAGTATAGTACAGCAATTATACCCATTGTGGATATTCAAGATTACGGGGTGGGGCTTTCATGTCAGGGTGAGGGATCCCTTAAACCCTGCACCCCAATTTCTGGAGGTGGCTAGCCATCCGAAGTTTTCAGCGCTACTGTGCAGGGGCACTCACCGAACTGGTCGTGCCCATGGCGAACACTCTATCCCACCTGTATTTCAGAAGCCATAACCCGACAACATCTTATAGGAAGCTTAAGGATACGCGGATCAAGCCACCAGCAGAGCCGTACCCGGTGGAGAACACGCTCCTCTTCCTGCCGGAATACGCGGCGGCTTGGCCTTGGGGTCTAGGGTTCGGATCATAAGTGGGTTGCTTTTAAGGAACTTAAATTGAGTAACCATATGGGTAGGTATATAGGAAATGATAAGGTTTTGCTTATTATAGTAACTTGGTCAAAGCTCCTTGATAGCAACCCAGATAAGTGGGTTGTAGGGACACGACAGGCATTCGATAGGAGATGCAGGGTTTAGGGGTATAGTAGGGTTTGGTAGGGCTTAGGGATCAGATAAGGCTTATTCAGGGCTGGGGGATATTACACCAAGGATGGAAAATCAAACAGACAAGAACATGGAAATAAATTGGAAACTGGGATCTGAAAGAGGGCATACAGGCATCAGTAGGGAGTTACATAGGTAAATGGGCCACAATACGGACAAATAGCAAAGAATTGGGTTTTTTTTATTTTAGTACCTTACTGTCCCTTACATGATAACAACCCAGTCAGCAGTGAGTGGTAACGATGTCATTTGATTGCAGGAGTGGCTTGGATTTCTTGGAAGTGACTGACTTGTGGAATCGAGAAATTATGTCGTCCTACTGTCTGCAACAGCGCACGTGATCACCATGCAAAAGCCTAGAAAACCTAGACCTCAAAGTAAACTTCATTCAATGCTGCGTTTAAAGCCAGGCGGGAGAAAAATTAAAACCTGCGAAAGTCTTCTTATCATGGAAGGATGCATTGGTCTACAGGGGTTGTATATGGGTTCCATAGGGATATTGGGATTTATAGGGGCTGTAAAAGGGGCCCTTAACCCTCAGCAATTGGTTGTGAACATCATGTCTTGTATATTCCCCATACCACCGCTAAATACAGGGTGCCCCAAAGAAGGATAATGCTTTCGACAACCTATTATGTATGTATGTACGTATGTACATACAGATATGTACATATGTACGTACGTATGTAGGTAGGTAGCTACGTACGCACGTGCGCAGGTAGGCAGGTAGGTAGGTAGGTAGGTAGGTAGGTAGGTATGTATGTATGTATGTGGGGGCAAGGAGTATCCTGATTTGGCTTGGAATTGGGGTACTTCTACTTGTCACCCAGGTTATACCTGCTCATGAACCACGAAAGAAATCCTAAACCCTAAGCCCTTAGCCCCAACCCTAACCTGAACCCCAACCCCAAACCCTAAACCCCAAACCCTAAAGACTAAACCCCAAAGCCTCGTCTTCGCAAGACGGCATGGTTATCCAGGATTCGCTGGAATCCAGAGACAACAACCTCGGCAACAACCTCGAGGGGGCCGGCATGGAAGGGGTGGCGCAGCACGAGGGAGGCGTGCGGTCGACTGCGGCCGGGAGCGCCAGCAGAGGGCCCACGCGTGAGACTGACACCATCGGGGCCATGCTCGAGGAAGAGATTGCGATACAGGAGACCAAGGAGCAGTCCAGGCTAGCGGAAGAGGCTCGCCTGCGTCAACAAGTGGAGGAACATGAACGTCTCGAAAGTGAAGAGGAGATGCAGCAGCTCAAGGACGATGAAGACAGGTGGGAGCGACATAGGGCTGCACAGCTGCAGGAGCAAGAGGACAAGCTCATGGCGGAGGCGCTGGCGGGGAAGTCCTTGAAGCGCAAGTTCACAGTCGTGACCTCCGTGCTTGGGAGGGACGGCAAGATCCTCGGAACGAGCTCCCAGGAGGTCCAGGCTGCGGCGGGTGAGAACGTGAGGGTCCAGTTCGAGATTCAGGAAAATGAGGCCATCCAGTCTGACCCGGAGCAGGACTCGGCAGAGCACGAGGTGGAGGTGGATGCTTGTGACGAGGAGGTCTTGCAGCAGGCACAAGAGGAGTGGCCAGAACTTTCCTGGCACCCGCACGAGCGGCTGCGCAAAGCTTGGTTCCACCTGTGGAAGGTGGGAGTCCTCAGTGGGGCGCAGATCGAGCGCAGGTGGGGGCTGGAAGTCCTATGGGAGTTCGAAGCGGAATTGGCGGAGGAGCTGGTGCGGCAGAGGGCTACGCAAGCCTCCCAAGACATCCTGGCTTCTCAGATGGCTCAAGATGGAGGTGGAGTTGGTGGTGGGCATCGCGCTGGAATGAGAAATGGAAGCTATGGGGTGGAAGTGACGGCGGCGGATACGCAGATGGATGGCATGGAGATGGATGGCATGGAGATGAACGACGAGAATCAAGCAGCTGGGGTTGAAGGAGAGACCGGGCTTGAGGGAGCTGGTGGTGGAGAAGCGGATGGCGCTGCTGGAGATTCTGGTGGCTCAGTGGCGGCTGACGAGGCGGCGCGTGTCCGTCATCGAGGGCATGTTTCTCTTGAAGATCTGTAACGAGACCTTCGGTGCTAGTGAGAGAGGCTAGGGTCGCTGTTTACTTCAGAGGAGTTTTGGGGTCTCTGCCCTGGCGTAAGGACGGGGTTGGGGCTTAATGTGGAAGCTTCTTTTGGCCATGTGTACTTGCCTGTCAGGGAAATTCTGATGGCTTGAGTCTGGCAGCGTGATCGGGCTAAGCAAGTCCAGGTTGCTGGTCGTTGATTTTCGTAGCTTTTGGCTACCTTTTGGGGAGCACCATGGGTTGGGTACAGATGGCAGCCTGCTGGTCTCCAGCCTTTTCCAGGGTTGAGGGACATGGGATCTCGCCGTAAGGCGCTCTCCGGAACCGCTGGCTCTGGAGAAAAGGTCCGATAAAAAAAAACCCAAACCCGAAACCCACAACTCTAAACCCTGTTCCCTAAACCCTTGAAATGGCTTTGCCATCGACAAATTTTTTTAGCCGAGGTGAATGAGCTACTGCTGGAGCCGAATATGTCAGACAAGGGAGACACAACGAATTTTGGCTTGGCTATGATGTTATAGGCAAGCCAAGCAATCTTTTTGGACTAAGACAAGTGATGCTAGTAAGACCTTTGTATACTGTCCAAGCTTTTGATATACCTGTGCAACATAGAATTCTTGCAACATCCCACGTCAGATTAGGCGCATGAACCCCCTTACTCCAACTAGCATGATGTAGGCATCAACTCAGCTCATGCCGAAGGCTATAGCCTCAAAAGCAATCGGGGTTTAGGGCTTCTCAAGAGCTTTAACACCTACAAATCTGTTACAGCTTCTTCAAACCCCTAAGTCTAGAGGTTCGCGTATTTACGGCCAGGCAAGAGATTTCCATTGACAGTTGCATCCGAAGCAGGAGTTCTGGGACTCATCAGAAGGATGCCGTACAATTTTCAGCAGTAATACGCATAGGAACTTACATCATAACACCCATGATGACAAAATAGGAAAAACAACATCAAGTGGGATTATTTGCAGTACCTACGGCCGCTACTGCTACGAAATGCTACGAAGATTGCTGCTACGATGACGACGACGGCGACGAGGCATACGAACAATGGTAAGACAGCGCCCCAAGAAAACAGTATTTTCATACAGTTAGGGGCATTATAACCCCTGATAGAGACGAACATTTTATCCTCCCTTTCGGATGTTACAAGCAGAACTATACATACTCTTACTGGTTCAAGGACCAAAACACTTAAACCCCTCAACCCTAAACCCTCCACCCTAAACCCTAAACCCCTAAACCCCTTAAACCCCTACACCCCTAACCCCTACCCCTAACCCCCAAGGAAGGAGCTCTGGTTCGGGCGCGTTTGGGAGCTCCGGGAGCTCCTCCGTGTGCAGCACGAGGAATACCTCGCGCGCGCGCCGCGGCTTTAGGATTGGGTTGGGGTAATATTTGGAAACTGCTATTTAAGGTTTAGGGTTTAGGGTTTAGGGTTTATAGAGTTCAGGGTAATATTGGTGTTATATCCGGATTATATTTGGAGAATGGAAAGTAACATGGAAACTATTGTATTTAGGGTTTAGGGTTTAGGGCTGTTGCCCCACGAAGAAGAATCAAGTGGAGAATCAAATGTAAAAGCAGATGGAAAATGACATCGACGTTATATCTGGATCTACATCATGTTTCTTGCTTCTGTAGGTGGGTGTCAGGATTATGCTCCGATTTTGGGCGACCCTAAATGTTAAGAGGCCTTATTACAAACAGGGGACCTAAAACAGCTTAGAACGAGGCCAGGATTTTCATAACTCACCACTTTGGTTTGCGTGTTTGAGGGTTTGTTTGGGTTTCGGCTTCCGAGCGCAGGGTGTAGGTCTCAGGACTTCGCACTGTCGGGTTTTGTGTTTTTTGAGGCTAAAAGATGGAGGACGTTACAAGTTACCAGGTGTTCTACGGGAGTTTGAGGGCTTCGTGGACGTTATACGTGGGCTCACACAGTTGAATTCTTTCATATGAGGTTCTATAGGAGTCTCCGGTTACCTAAACACCAACTTGGTCAGTTCCGAAACGTCCCCTTCCAAAACGTCCCCTTTGTGATCTCGAAGAGTCAATAGGTTTGTGGAACAGCTCCTTCACTCAGTGAATCATGTCGTAGCTGAGCCCTACCAAGATCAAGGCCATAGCCATTTCCATGCAACACCTTTATTGGTGCAGATCTGATCCTTTAGCAGCCCTGAGAATTTAGAGTTTTGCGCAATAAAGACAATCCGTGACAGGAGTACAGTCTCTAAATTCCGAAGTCCGGGTAAACGCCTCCCCCTAAGCCCACGCCCCATGACTGCACACCAAGAGACCGTAAATACCCTACGGCCTAGACTGTGCAACCCTGAAACCCTTTCAAAGATAGGGGTATAATAAGGACCATAGTATGTTCAGGCCTAACTCGAGTTTCTGTTACTTTTGAAAAATCCGTAAATCCCCTACGCTCAAACCCTGAAGCCATCCCACAACCCAGAAATTCTTTTGAGCTATAGTCTAAACTCCTTAAAGGGGGTTAAGAAGTGGATTATTTCGGGGATTACTATAGGGATTTATAGGGATTACTCAGGGGGATACGTGGAGTTTAGACAAGGGCTCATACGCCCTAGACCCTGAAACTCTGAAGCTCTCCCACAACCCAGGTGAATCGACACAAGCCCGACCCTGGGCTTAGCGCAACTGATAAGCAGGCCCTGGATGCGCTCCTCCAGGACCCCAAAAAGTACCTTGGCGAAGTTGAAGGGTTTAGGGTTTAGGGTTCACTACCATTACTTAGGGTTTGGGAGGTCATTTTGAGCTTGAAGCTTTGACATTTTGAGACTAAGGAGAATCCTAAGTAATGGTAGGCTTCTGTGGGCTTGGGGTTAGGGTTGAGGGTCCATTTTGTGGAGATATCATTTGTGAGCTTCGGAGGTTTTAGGGCGTAGGGTGTTAGGTTACGAGGTCCGAAGAACGTGCGTCATATTACAATATTGGAGCTTTTCAGTGTTTACCTAACAATGTTCTTGAGCACCGCTCGACTCCAATGCTACCGTTATATGGGAGTGTGCAAAGATTAGGGGCGAAACTATATATAGCTAGATGCAGAAATCAGCCTGATTATGATGGCCCTCAGCAGGAGAACTCGCAATTTATTGGAAACTCGGCCGAGCCTACGCAGTTTACGCTCAATCGCTGATCCTAAACCCTAAACCCCACACCCTAACCCTAAATCCTCAACCCAAAAAAACCCTAAAGCCCTAAACCTGAAGCCCCAAAATCCGGTGCAAGGAAAAGCCTCCTGACCAAGCTCTGCGCCTTGTGGAAAGGCCCTCCCTTGCTACTCCCCTCCCTCAACTTAGCGGTGCTTAAGGGTGACTGGGGGAGTGAATATAGGTACCCGTATAGGGGTAGATGGGGGCTTAGGGTTTAGGGTTTAAGGATTGGGGGTTATGTAAGGATTATTACAGGGATCCACTCCCCCGTACTGGATTAGTAGTAGGTACCTCAAGCCTCGCGGATCAACATTCCCACTATGATATTCTCCTAAGGGAGCGAATACTTCTTGTTCGGGCGTGATGACGAAGATTCAGGGAGCTTGGCTGTACAAAGTACTGGTCAGGCAGGAGGGGTGGTTGTACTTCGAGGCGACGGGACACTTGTCTCTGTTTTGTCAGGGCATTTGGGATTGTGTACGTGGTACGAGGCTTATGGAAACTTAATGTCCAAAGCATGTACACTCTGATTACAGACCCGGCTTCACTTTCCTCGTCAGAAGCCTTGAGAGTTCGTGGAGCGGGCTTTGCATGGGGCCGGGAGACGTCTCAACCAGTGCCCTCGGCCGTTAGTGGCCTCGGTCAAAGTCAAAAATCTTAGCGCCGCAGCCGATGAACTCCAAGCCAGAAGACCCCGGTCCTGTATTTGCTAAAGGTGTGGCCCCAAAGGCTGCGCTCCAAATTGTAGGGTTCTTTCCTTGAATACCACCCACCCTCTTCAAGACTCTGTCAGGTGTGGTGGTCAGGAGACGAAACAGCCTGAGGGTGCTGAGTCATTTGAAGTACTCGTACCTGCGGGGCACTGTGACATGGCAGACTTTGAAGATTTCGGGGTGGTGGGACAGAAGGGATCGCTGCTTTGGTGGGCTCCTGGCCAGCAGCATGTAGGCAAGCGCGTAGACTGCATTTTGTGGTGGGGCAAGAAGGGTGCAGTTGTGTGCTCTCTAGCCTGGCGGGAAAACAAGGTTGTACAATATTTTGTCTGGCATCTCCTGGCAACTGCAGTCCAAAAAAACCATGTGCAAGAAAGATTCAAGCTAGAGTGTTTTTTTGGTGCGGAGCCCTTAGAGCCCTCGAAAGCCCTTTCTGAACATCCCAAATCCCCATCATTGACTTGTGCAGCCCTTTCACAATGCTTTGTCCAAAGTCCTAAGCTACGAAGCCCAAACCAACCTTGCAGTGCCTTGAGCCAAGCAAGAGGCAACTTGACACCAGCCTTGTTTGAGGTGATTTATGCTCACGGCTCTGGGGGCTGCAGCTGGGATAACTTCCGCATTTGCCGTATGATGGCCCGGATGGGCATGCGGCTGAGATGCACGAATTTGTGAGTTTTGACAAACGTGCTTGAGATGAGAGGTTTTACGAATAAGCCTGAAGCAGCCCCTGCCAGGGGCCGGCAGAATCCTCTAACAGACTCTGCCCATCCCAGATGTCGGGTAGCTCGAGCCAACAGGCCAATAACTCGCTTGCCTGGACTTGATCATTGTCTGTGCTAGCCATAGACCTGCGCAACAGTTCGTCACACCATGAGATTACCATTCGGCACTGTTCTAAGCCAATGGCCTTGCTTAGGCCTTTGTGGAAAGTAGGGTATGTTTGAAAGTGTGTTTTTCGATTGATGACCAGGGGTTTTGAAATTGTCGGCCTTTTTTTTTGGAAGTCCCTCTAAGAAGGAACACTCGGGTTAATATTGTATTAGGGGACCCTCATATTTAGGCAGTTGGGGAAGTTTTTTTTATGCAGATGCCCTGTCACTTTGTAACCTGTGCCTGCAGCGTCTAGTCTTGTACTCCTGACATGATGACAGGGGTTTCTCAAAGAAGGGTTTTTGTTGGCATCTCAGGGCTGTCTAGGGATCAGAAGGGGATTGTGGGGTCCCTACCCGCGATTCCACAGGAAGTTTTGGAAGCTGCTATATTGAATGGCTACAAGATCCACCAAGAAGTGCACATTTCCTAAACTCTAGACCTTAAGCCCCACAAAATACCGGGGATTAGCTCAGTTTGGGGTGGCGGGCATCTAATCTAGAATGCGCGTTTGAATTCTGAGCTATCCGCAGGAAGCCACTCCAGTCTGCTGAGTACTTGGAGGTTTATGGGTAGTTCTGTCTGTGTATATGTGAAGAAACTTAGATGTATCATTATAGACTGCTATTTACTTGATCCCAACGTGGCCGTTATCAGAAATCCCAAAATGAGTGAGGTTGGTGATCGCTCCGGATGGGTTTGCCTATCCGAAGAACACGGATTTGGGCAAAATGCGGCACAAGGAGTGCTCCAGACCTTCGAGAGCCGTAGGGTTCAGAGCCTCATGTTTCTGGTTCATGCTTAGTTGGGATTTGCAGAACTGGTTAGGTATAGGGGTATCACGGGGTTTTATGGGGATGATACAGGAACTGCTGTAAGGATGCATTCCGCCACTCTGAACTTAGCATAAGCAAGTAATCAGGTAAGCCCAAGACCAGCCAACGGTTGAGCTTGCAAGGTGAGGGGTTGCCTGGGTTTCTTCCACCTGACTGATGATGCTTGAGCGTTCTACTAAATCCCTAGCTCCTGTGCAGGAAGTGCAGCCTCTCAAGCGAGCATCCGCAACCTGGCTTTGTTGTCCGAGTAGAGGCAGGTCACCACTGTGTTCGCCTTGCAACCAAAAAAAAGGGGGAAGACGTGCTTGTGACTTGTCAGTGCCTCAGCCCATTCTCATATATTTATGTATATTATCGTATGTTGTCGTATATCATGGTCTATTTATAGTGTGTCTCGCATCGCCGAAAAAGCCGAGGATGATGTGGACTACTGGGCAAATGACTTGCTCTATGCTTCAAACGCTGAAGCTTGGCAGGGTTGCAGGGTTGTGTCGAGTGCGTGGAAGTTCGGGGCTCTCGCTCTCTCGCTCTCTCTCTCTCTCTCTCTCTCTCTCTCTCCCTCCCTGTCTTGTGGATCTGCTGCCGAAGCCCCCGTATCAATCATCATAAGGTGCCACCAAGGAGGGCTAATTGTCCTTGCGTCTTCTGAGGGATTGGAAGGTTCGCGTGTGAGCTTGCTGCTCCGTGGCATGAGGGATAGTGCAAAACAAACGATGCAGGTGTTGAAGAGGGCTATCCTGGTATGTATAGTATATTATAGTAGAATATAGCATATCATGGTATAGTATAGTATGTTATGGTATACTTATAGTAAAACCTGGGCTGGGTAGGGTCTCCTGCAGGTGAGACGGAGGCTATGTAAGGCCGAAACTATGAGCCCCTAACGTAGACCCGTGATTGTTAAACCCCCTTCTTTTAAGGGCCTCAATATTAGGATCCCTGTTATAATCCCCATTTAGGAGGGGGTTTATTAATCAGGGGTCTGGGTTACTGCGGCACTTTGAATTAAGTCCAGGGACCCGTACTTATTCCGCACAATATGAGCTACAGTCTAAACTCCTTAAAGGCGGGTTATATAGGGAATTATATAGGGGTACATTTTCGGGTTTATTAAGAGGGATACTCGGAGTTTAGACTATAGCTCCTACGATGGTAACCCAGACCCCTGATTAATAAATCCCCTGCCCTTAATAGGGGTTATCCTAACATTAAGGCCCTTAAAGGGAGGTGCTTTATTCATCATGGGTCTACATTAATGTGATGGGTATTCTGTAGGAGGACCCCCCACCCTGTAGTAGTATAAAATGACTATAAGAGGACCCTGATATAAGCCCTATTATCCCTTATAGTCGCTATTACTGGGTTGGGGGTCCACCTAAACCCCAGGATAACCCTAATATAACCCCAATATAACCCTAATATAACCCTAAATAGTAGTTTCCATTTTCTTTTCCATTATCCCTATATAACCCCTATAATCCCTTAAGGGGGACTAGATTACTGGGTGGGGGGTCCACCTAATGAACCCTAAACCCTAAACCCTAAACCCTAGACCCTAAACCCTAAACCCTAAACCCTAAACCATGTGATATTCTATGTTTTTGGGCCCAAGCTTACTGCAACCTTTGAGCCCAGGATGGTTCGCACACCTACTCGACCCAAGCATCGTCTGTGCTGGACAACCCGGACAAGGTGCGGAATGGGAGCTAGGGTTTAGGGTTTAAGCATGGGATCTAGGGTTTAGAGTTGAAGAATGGGATCTAGGGTTTAGGGTTTAGGGTTTAGGGTGTAAAGCGACCTCACCCAACCTTACCCTAAATGGTGGTTCAATCTGGGAATAGTACTAAAATGGCCTTAGATTAGGAATGAAAGTTATTCTAAATTACCCCGGATCCCGAAGCCAGTCAGCTTCCGGGTTTTCAGGGCCCCCCCAGATAGCACAGACTCCTGGGTTTCTTGTAATTCCCTTCTAAGGAGTCCTCCTCAGAGGCTCTGTCCTTTTCAGGGGTGCCCTAGGAATCTCCCCAAGCTTTGCCAAATTCGTTTAACTTTCCTGTTCATGCGCTGTAGCAATGTGGATGCTGCTCGGCGTCAGCTGTGCGAAACAGGGATCCAATGCTTGCATAGGGATCCAATGCTTGCATCCCTCGGTAAGAAAAAACCAAACCCTGACCCCTAAACCCTAAACCTTGAACCCTACACCTTAAACCCCAACCAAAAAACCCTAGACCTCAAGGGCCAGGTCGGCTGCAAACCCCCCTGTGCCAGTTCCGAGACCTTTACGAGAAATGCTACCAGATGCGCCGGCGCGAGCTTCACTGGACCATCGAGAAGCTTCCCAGGCTTTAGGGTTCAAGGTTTAGGGTTCAAGTAGACCAACTACAGCTACAAGTTGTTGTAGGGTACATATGGGGGTTTCCCAAGATTAGGGTTATCTTTGTAGGGGCCCCCATAATAAGGACTTTAGTACATGTGGGGTCTACATTGGGGTCCCCCTATTTTGGGAAAGCGCCCTCGATCATATTCCCACTTTTCCCTGGCCCAGAAGTCATGGCATAACATAGAAATACATAAGCCCTTGGAGGGCCGTTTGTTTCGGGCCCTGCACGCTGCGACTGGATGCTTCCCCAATTGGTCTTTTCAATCTGCATGTGATAAGGGAATATATGCATTTGGAGGTCGTTGCCTTCCGGTAGTCTGTGTGATCTTTCCTTGCCATCAGATACAAGGGCAGAACTCATCAGCGCCAGTGCCATACGCAAGATGTGCCCATATTCCGCAAATGTTTCCGTTTAGGTTTTCGCGCGAGTCATGGTTCGCATGAAGCAATGATTTTGCCGACCGTGTAGGTTTCTCGTGCGCAGCATCCCAGGTCCCAACCATCTCAAATCCCCAAGCCCAGCATATCCCTAGATACACCATAAAATCCTATGGGAGCCCCGTAGCCTTACTTAAAACTATCCAACAAGTATCATCCCATTAGAGAATGGCGGAAGGAGCCCTCATGAACTTCAGTTTTGCTATTCAGGAGCGAGTGAGACAATGAATCTTCAGTGGAGCTTGAGGAGCCCACATGACACATTCATTCCGCTGGAGGATCCATGGTGACAGAACAGCATCTTCGACAAGAAGTGATAAGAAACGGTCATCCCAAGGCAAAATGATCAACCATATTACCATTATTATTACTATTGTTATTATTATTGTTACTATTACTATTATTATTACTATTACTACTATTAATTTTATTATTACGATTATTACTATTAATATTATTCTTATTATAGTTCGATTTAGGCCATTCAGTGAAAGGCCGCTGGTCTACAAGCTCTGTGCTCTTGGGTTGCTTTTCAGCCTCACCCTATGCATTGCGTCCTAGATCCCCCTCAAAGCCGCATCATTTTCGCTCTTCATGTCACGCTTGCCTTCAACGCGAGCCGCTACCAATGAGATATGCGTGCTTTAATTGTAGCTTATTTTGCGTAAACATGCATCAACGTTTCGTCAGCGGTTCTGGATCTGCCAGAAGCACCCAAAAGCTGTGCCAGGTGGATTCGAACGCAGGGATTCTTCATAGGCTGGGCTACCCTGGGCTTGCTGCCAGGTCTGGGGTTTGGGGTAGGTTAGTGCTTAAGGTTTGGGGTTGCTTGTCAGGCGGAACCTCTGAGGGTGCCATGACGGTGTCGCGCTTCGATGACCAACGCTACCGGGCTAGACTTCGGGGGTTTCCAGACATTGGGGCCCCTTTGAATGGGTGTAGGGTTTAGGGTGTTATAGGTTTATGTAGGGGACATAGGTTGGTCAATCCCCCCTTCGTGATAGTTGCGTAATATGGAGTTAGCTTATAATAGTCCCTCGTGGTCCCCACTGCTGGGTGGAAGATTGACCCAAGGGTCCCTGTAACAAGGACTATAGGATATATAGTATTGATAGTGTCCTAAACCCCAAGCCATAAAGCCTATGGTATAGGGTTATGTCCTGAGCTTTTGCAGGTTTTGGGCGGAGTTTGGATGAAGCCTTAGTGTTGCTTTTGGGCCCTATACCATTTCTATTTGTTCTGAGCTTGGGTTTTTTCGGCTTGATTTAGTGTTTAGAGTTTCTGAAAGTTAGGGGCCCTTTTAAAGCATAGTGTGGGGGTATGTAGGGGAGCTACGTTATGCAGTGCAAGATTGAATGGATAATGGAGAACCAAACGGAAAAGAAAGTGGACAATTGATAGGGAAAGTGGGACGAGATGGAGGTTTGTACGGATTAGAGTTTCCTAAGATTCGGGGTTCTTTCTGGGGAGCCCGATGATAGTACATGCATTTGTATATTTGGGGCCTGGTGTTTTTGAAGCTCCAAGCTTGTACATGGCTTAGCATTTTCAAGCTTAAAGTGCCAGAGCCGCGTAGAAGACTGTTGTTCACAGTTTCAGATGAGTAGTATTTTATTTTGGGGATACTATGGACCCATTAAAGAGTAAGATTATATCGTCCATTTGGGGTATAGTATTCTATATAAGAGATATACTCTTACTAGGTTCAACCACCAAAAAAACACTACTGAGATGGGCGTTGTGTTTTGAAAGCCTCTGCCACTCCGAGCTAGGCTATGCGCACCAAGTGCTGGGCCGCATCCTGGCAGAGTTTAGGAGGACCCCCCCTCCCTGTAATAGTGACTATAGGGGATAATCGGGATTATATTAGGGTCCTATCATATTCCTACTATACCACTATTACAGGGTGGGGGGTCCTCCTAAGGCCGAGTGTTCTTAGATGGCTTGGTGGAGGAAGCCCGCAAACGCTTGAACCAGGGAACGCTTTTCTGACATTTTGTTGGGGGTGTATTGCTGAGGACAGTATCTCCATTGAGAAGTCTAGGATGGTCTCAAGTCTTAGTTACAGTCCTCCAGGAAGCGTCTTGCATTCTCTGTAGGAATCCAGAGATCGTGGCTTTAGGTTTTGGGATGGGGGGTTGGACCCTAATTCCCAAACCTACTCCCTAACTCCCACAGCCTGCACCCCAAGCCCTAAACATTGGAGTTCCAGCGTGTCTAGGGGTTAGGGCTTTGGAGTTCAAGCGCAAAGTTTTGTTGTTGGGTTGGGACTTTTTCGGAGACACTTAGGGCTCACGGTTCAGGGATGAGGGGTTGGGGGGTTTCGAGTGGTTATGCAGCAAAGGCAGCAGGGCCTGTACAATATTACAAGCCCTGGTAGCATCTCACGTTGCCCATTAAAAGGGGCCTCCATGTACGCCCCAGGCCTTAAACCCGCAGCTCCAAATCCTAAAGACCGAGCTCTTGAGCTTGAAATCTGGAACCCTAAACCCTAAACCCTTGAAATCTGGACAGTCCAAACTCTAGAGCTTCAACAACTTGGACCCGCAACTCGGGACTCTAAGCCCCAAGCTCTCTCCTTTGTCTGTCCGACCAGACAAACTCCAGATGTCGCATTTTGCCTTGCGCTGCCTTGTGCCAGACAAGTGGCTGCTCTGTAAAAATAAGCCAGAAACGCGAAACCCTCAACCGCAAAACTTATGTTTTAATGTTAGAACCATAGGCCCCTAGTATGGGCCCTAATCCTGGATTCCTTGTATACCTATTACATACCTATCATATTTGTATAAGTCCATATAGGCCCAGTTCAGCACCTTAGACCTTCCTGGTCCCGCTTAACTGGATAGAATATGGGGTATATGGGGATCTTATTCTAACATACCCACAGCCATATTCTACCTACTTCAGGGTGACTATAATTCTGTATATGCCCACGACCTCAGTAAGTCCAGGCTTTATCAACTCCTTCAGTGTCGAGTACTGCCGCTTGGATGATGCACGAGCTACTTGGAGGGTCATGGGGACTTAGTAAGTGAGGTGATAGTGGGGATAGCTGGGGTTAGTACATGGCTTCAAGGGGTGTTATAAGTCTACTTACTAACTCCCCGTGACCATCCAAGTAGGCTCAAAGTTGGAGTTTGGGTTTCGTTGAGGGGTTGAACATCCTGGCAACACATAACGAGGACTTGGGGGCCAACCTCTTACAGTGAAGGACAATAAGTTGAGCGCATGGAAAAGGGACCTGGACGAGTTATGCTACCTGTCTCTCGCTACCCTCGGGGTAGGGGACAGCGATTTTCCACCGTTCTGGCTCCCGCTCACACTTGCGTATCGCTTGACCTGCAGGCTACTTCACACCGACGATGAAGTGTGCGCAGATCGGGGGCAACACCGACGTCCCCACGCTGAACATCATCGGCCCCTTCGCAGTAGAAAGGGCCTGCCTTGGTCCATGGCAGGGATGGGATTTCAGCAGTGGGAATCGTTGTCAATGTTGCAGGGGATTTGAGTAGGACTCCCTGCAGCGCTCCTCTACATGAGGGTGGAGCTGGGAAGGTTCAGCAAGCCGGATGCCGGTAGAAGTAGTTATGTTTGAGGTTACTAGATGGCTACTTCACAGGATTGAGGTCTCCATGCATGAGCCGACGGGAAGATGGAGCACAGATCCTCACGGATGCTGAGGGCGAATCATGGAATTGGTGCAGCCTTGCATTCGGGGTCTTGAGTGTGGGCTTAACGTGAGCGATCCCAAACAGCAGATTGGATGCAAGTCATTGCCGAGGCACCAAAGACGAGTATTTCGGCGCAACAGAGAGTGCCACTTTCCGACAGATTAGTGCGCGGTGCCGTTTTCTCTGACGGCCCAAGCTTTTTTGCTTAGAGATTTGGGGATTGAGATTTGGTGGTGGTTATCCTCATCGGTTTCACGTCTTATCAGCTTTCGCTTCTGCCTCATGACCTATTCGGCACCCCGACAATTCTCGAAATACTTTTGATGGACATTGATTGACAAAATGAATGAATTTTGGAGGCACCCCAGATATCAGGGGCCGTATCATACTGGGACCCAAGAAAGGACCAGAATTTTGACAGATCCCTCAGATGGGGCTTGTGCATGAATGCAGGGTTCAGCCTGGTAGGGGCAAACTTGATTGGATTGATACGAAGAGGATCCTACATGGAAGCCTTACATCCCTTTAAAGGGGTATATAATACATGGGTATGACTTAGGGATTATACAGAATGATGAATGATTTGCGAATATGTGGAGATATTGAATGGAACTTAAAGTAAGCCTGCGACTAAAAAATCAGAAAATCAAGAAAGCTCTGTCCATGGCCGTGTGTGGAGCGTAGACATGTTGAACCCTGAGACATGGAAACCCAGATCCAAATCCTTGCGCCAGTCCAAACAGCAGACCATGAAATCGGGGCCTCGATGAGAAGCTGGCCTCACAGCCACATGCATTTTCCATTATCCCTTTATTACCCCTATATAACAATAGTAGTTTCCATCTTATTTTCCATTATCCCATTTCCATGCTGACAGCCCTAATCCCAATTAACTACCTTATAACACCACTTTCCATTTCATTTTCCATTTTCTTTTCCATTTGATTCTCCATTATTTGGGGGGTAATATCCCTCAACCCTAAACCCTAAAACCTAAATAGTAGTTTCCCTTTTCTTTTCCATTATCCTAGTACTAGGTGTATAGCCCCTATCAAAACCCCATTAAATCCCTATGTACCTAAACCCTAAACCCTATCCCTAAAAAGCATTCTGCTGAAGCACCTGGGCCTTGGCGCCCCGAGAACCCAAACCTGACATGTCGAGTTAAGCTTAGGTGGACCCCCCCACCCTGTAATAGCGGCTATAAGGGATGATAGGGTTTAGGGTTTGGGGTTTAAGGTTTTAGGGTTTTAGGGTTTAGGGTTTGGGGTTAATAGTGACTACAAGGGATACTGGTAATTATATTAGGGTCCTCTTATATTCTTATTATACCACTATTACAGGGTGGGGGGTCCTCCTAAAGTTAAGCAAAGGCTAGGCCAGAGCCGGCAACCACCGCATGACTGTTTCTAACTTTGTTCTGAAAGCATCCCTGCTGCGAGGATCCTTCAACCCTGACATGGAAGTTCGGCAGAGTTATGCATACTTTTCTGGGCACCGTTCACCATACTTGCCGGTGTAAGGGCTGGCATTTAGAAAAAAAGCCGAGCGAAAGGTACTTGTCAAGATTGTGGGTTTCTGCTAGGCTACATCATATTGATTGCCCTCAATGCAGCGCCATCTTTGAACCTCGAAATTCCCTGAACAACCCGACGCCAAACCTTCAACCCCCAACCCTGAAACCACGCCCAACCTTGAACCCCAAGCCCTGAACCCCACCCCCTAGCTTAACCCGAAACCCCAAGTTCTAAACCCTAAACCCTATACGCAAACCTTCAACCCCAAGCCCGAGCCCTTAACCCCACTAGGTGGCCGCACTGGTCCAAGCGGACAAGGAGCATGGTTTTGGCGACGTCAAACTGGAAGCTCATCTTGTGAGGAGCTGCAGGTTTCGAGGGCTCAGGGTTAAAAAGAAGTGGTTGAAATAATCCCTATACAATCTTAAAGGGAGCCCCGATGATCCTCCTATGTTCCCCATATCTTCTTAGGGGGTGGGCTCCAGGGGATCGATGAGTATAGGGTGTAAAGTTCTGCTAACCAGATCCTGGCCCTCTTTGCGGCTGGGGTCCCCCTCATATATGTGGGGGTTTCCGAAACTAGGGGTCACGAGCAGAATCTGATTATTACAATCTGTATCGTAACCCCTCATGTTCGGAACCAGCTATACAACCCTCCAAAGACTAGGATCATTGCGCAGATTTCGCCTCCTGGGATCCAAAAGGGAGCCTGTAGGAAACCACTCAAGTTGTTGCCAGGTTTGAAGAAGAAACCAGCTACTGTTGACAGATATCACGATTGTTACTATTGTTTCATAGCATGCCCACCTAGGGAGGGAGTATAGATTCGAGGTTTTCCAGGTCTGAGGCTTTTCCAGGTTTGTAGGTTCAGGATTTGATGAGAAGCTAGGGAAAATCTGGGTTGGGTTTTCCATAAATGAGGGGCCCCAATCCAGACTCCCAAATATTAGAAACCTTTCATAGGTACGCCCAAAAGGGGCACCTAATTTTTGGAGACGTGAATCCGTATAAACCAATGTAAGATCCCAGCTTCTATTTCATTCCCTCATTTCGTTTCTACTAGAACTTCCATTATTGGTGTAATATCCCTGAACCGTATATAATGCGTACCCCTTAACCCTAGACATCCCTAAACCTTTGTTGGTGTAATGTCACTAAGCCATATATAATGCGTAACCCCAAACCCCAACCCCGCTAAGCCCTAAACCCTAAACCGCATGTAACAGGAGGGGGAGTTGTAGCTCGTTTCTTACGCCGGCGCAGTGCTGAGGATGGACATGGATTTGACATGATGATGGAGCAGGCGTGAAGCCCAATCCGAAAAGCTAGAAGTTTAGGGTTCCGAGTTTAGGATTTAAGGCTTAGAGTTTAAGATTTAGGGTTTTAGGATTTAGGGTTTAGGGTTGGCGGCCTTCAAAGTTGAAAGGCCATTGGTTCCATTGCTTGCTTTTATGTACAGAGTGTGGTTGCATTGAACATGGCTCGTGCTGTGTGGCTGACAGGAGATTGAGTCCGCGAGAGAGAGAGAGAGAGGATTGGCGGCCTTACTGGTTCGAAGGTGACTTTTGAGTTCAGTTACTTGAGGCGTAGTATGCTATGTTGCGCAAATAGCTATAAGGAAGATAATGAACAGTGAGTTGACTGCATCTTGACGCGGAGAATCTGTACGCAGGAAATCCGACGTTCCCGAAATTTGACCAGATAGTCAGAGGTTAGCAATTTTTCTGATATATAGGGATGATATTCTTTTATTCCCTACTAACCAGTGCATCCTAAACCCTATACATATATATATATATGCATGTATATATTTTTCTACTACCCACCAGTAGGACTACCTGTTGGTTGCGGAGGTGGGTCAGTGCCTTTGTTTTGCACTTTTCTCATAGTGCTTTTCAAGCTTATGCCACGAAACTCCTATGCCCCAAGCCCCTTAACCCTACCCATCCCCTTCCGGTCGTAACAGCAAAACTACCCTTCAGGAGCTGAGCACTGGGCTTGTGTGCTACATGGAGGGGGGAAAGCACGGACCCTGCCCTTTCGCTGCAGTAAGTGTGCGTTTATTTGCGAGAGGCGCATCAAAAAGAGCCTTTCAAGTAAGCTTCATATCTCTGGAAGAAGCCATAGGGGCCTTGAATCAACCGAGAATTGCTCTCAGGCTCCTGATTTAGAGTCCGGAGCGAGCTTGTAGCCAGGGGTAATTCTAAGTTGGATTCAGGATGAACCTCCAAGTACGGAAGATGCTCACCCGCCAACAAACTTTACTAACGGACAAACATTAGCCGCCTAATCAAGAAGTATCTCACGAACCGAAGAAAGATTATGTGGAGGGTTGATGTCTTCGGGGGGAAGCCAGGGAAGAAGTCCGT